GCAGAGCGTACAAATAAAGAAACTCTTCTACAGCTGTCTCCTGCTTACCGCCAAGAAGAGCAGCTCCAGGTCCTTCTCATCATTCATTTCAGGGTTTAGGGTTTAGGGTTTAGGGTTTAGCTGCTTATGCTCATTCTTCTTCTCCACATACAGTTGTGCAGTTTGTGGTTTAGAAGTGCTAATCAATTAAAGGGAGGAGTGTGATGCAGTTGTTTGCTTTAATATGCCTCATTTTGGGGTTTTAGGGTTTAGGGTTTAGGGTTTAGGGTTTAGGGTTTAGGGTTGATTATCTTATCGGGTATGCTTTTGCCCCTATTTATTCATTTCTTTTAAATTTCTTCGTCGGGGTTTTCTTGTGCATCTCTAAGGCAACATTTGCTGTGCTGTTTTTAATACATACTTGTTATATGTATATACATATATATATATATATATATATATATGTACATATATATGTATATATATATTAGAGTGTTGCGTATATGATAATCATATATATATATATATATATGGTAACACACGAAGAAATAATATAGAGCATATACGAGTATAATATTTATTTATTTTATCTATTTATTTACTTTATTTATTTTGTTTTTCTGTTTGTTTGTGTCTCAGGCTCTACTAAACAAAATACACAAATTTAGAAACCCGGCGTCTACAGGCGTAATTCAAGCAAACGGACAGCCAGCAGCGTGAGTGTAATTAAAGATAAAAATAATTAATTGCTTTTAATCTTTATTCTTACTATTGTAGTGTATTGTTATTGTTTAATATTATTAATATTATTATTATTATTATTATTTAGTATTGTTATTATTCATTCTTATTATATATTGTTATTAATAGTTAGAATTATTATTTACTATGATGATTTTTTTTTGTTGTGCATTGTTATTGAGTATTAGCGTTTATTATTATTATGATTATTATTTATTATTATTATTTATTGTTATTGTGCATTATTATTATTATTATTATTATTATTATTATTATTATTATTTAGAATTATTATGCATTATTATTATATATTATAAAATATTTTTATTGTTTAGTTTGATTAATATATAATCTTTATTTATTGAATATGTTGCTGTTGCATGCGATGTTTGTTCAGGCAGTTCACGCGTCAGTCTTTGCTCGCCTCCTTTCCTATCATTGCGCGGATGTAGTATTTTATATGTTTATTTATTTTTATTTTATTTACTCTTTATCGTGTGATATAGTTAATATAATATATAATGTATAATTTATTATATATAATATATAATGCATAATATATTATATATAATATATAGTATAATATATAATAGACAACATATAATATATAATATATAATGTATGTTATAATATATTATGTATTATATATTGCATATTTATATAATATAGAATGTATAATGTATGGTATATGATGAATAATATATAATATATAATGTGTAATATTTAATGTTTAGTATAAATTGTGTAGTATGCGCAACATACAGTATATAATATACAATATATTGAGTAAATGAATATACGGTATATAGTCTATATACTATATAATATATTATATATACTATATAATATATTATATATATTATATAATATATCTATTATATAATATCCGATATTTATTATACAGTATACAGCGACTATCAATGAACTGTTGATTCTTTGTTTTATTTTGAAGGCATGCTGCTACTTTATGCATGTCTTATTTTTCTCTGTTCTCTATGTAGAGATGTGTATGTTAATTACATGTAAGATGAGTTTAAATAACTATGACCTTACCTTCTATTATGCTGCATTTGCAGCTCTGCTTTATATAATATATATATATATATATATATATATATATATATGCATGCAGGGTTGGTTTGTTTGCTGCTGAGTCAAGCAACAGCAGGCAAATAAACGCATGCAGCACCGTCTTCGGTTTATTTCTTGATGCCGTCAGGTGTACATTCATGCAAAGTGAATATACAGACGGTATTCAGTTATTATTTGTTCTGTTGTTTGTTTCGTTTGCTTCCACATCTCTTCCGTTCTATCGTACTGAGGTGTATAAACACCTTGCATTAAACAGCCTCGCAAGGAGCACTGCTCCTGGACATTTATGAACATGTTTAATCGGATATACCGATGCATTGAGGAGGTTAAGGAATAATATCATTCAAAAAATATATCCTAGTATCCTAGAGCTTTCACTCTGTCTTGTGCAGCGAGCAGCAGCACTTTCTACTCATTAGCATTCCTCCCATTGAGGAGAAAGCATAAGAGTGAGACAGTCAAACCACTGTCTTTTTGTGAAACAAAATTCAGCTTAATACCAGGATAAACATGTTTCTCGCGGTTGTTACGGGGGAGGGAGGGAAACTGCGTGAGTATATTTGAAAGAATGAGAACGATACTGTTGAATATCAAATACAAAATAAGTATTTGCGCAGAAGAAAATTAATTTCAGCAAATTATTGCAAAAAAGGAATAGTTTATCTGGAGATATTGCTCCTTAAAACGA